AAGTCAAGGCAGAAATTGCATCGAATGATTTGAAGAACTTCCTGGTTGAAAGCCCAGTTGAAAAGTTCCACTTGAAATCGATGCTGTTTCTTTCCTTGTTCAACAAAATTGAATTTGTGCAAGAAGACTTTGAGAACCTGTCAAACAACAAGGTGGAGAAGACCTCATTTTATGAGAGCATTGCAAAAATGAAGAGACAGTTGAAGAACATCAGCCTGTCACTTGAGACAAATTTTGAAAAGAAAATGGTCCTGGAAATTTATGCATTGTTTATATTAATTAGAATATTCATTACACTAACTGTATAGGTTGTTTTTAAAAGTATATAATTTTATAAGTATTGGAACATCAATACTTAGCTAAATTGGTATAATCTGTGGGCTTTCTTATGACTAAATTGATTTAGTTATAAAATTTCTCATCTATTGAGAACTGAGGAAATAGGAGGAATTACGAAGTAATAAATTCAATGGTAAGCATAAACTTGAAATGATTATAACACACAATTGTTTTGTATTTTTATTGTTATTAAATCATTTTATTTTTATTATTTAAAAAAAGAATATAAAAATGATATGTACATTTTGTGTAGGCTATGCATGTACAAATCTGTTGGTTTTAAAATGTTCATTTTATATGTTTTTATTCAAGTTTCATGTGGTTTTTAGGACAACATCCAATTATTTTCTGCCTATTTAAAACAAAGTATTATCTATAAAAATTGTCGATTCAAATCTTAGACTCTAGTGTCAATTATTTTGAACTGCCAAATTTAATCAGTTGATCATTTATACTTGTAGAACCGCGATACAACTATATTTATTGAAGCATTTTAGATATTTCTTTTTGTCTTTAAAGATAAAAAATATGCTTATAACGTACTTACTGTAATTTCTATACTATGTACTACACAAATTAAAAATGTATCCGAATCTAACCTTTCAATTTATTTACGAAAAATTTATTGAAGTAAATCTTCTGGTTTGAAATCACGATATATTTAATAATACTGCAATCTAGATCGGCAATCGACTATTTTGATATACAATGTTCATTTTTTTATTTTCAATTTCTAACATGTGATATCCATAAATGTTTTATTCTTTGTGTATTCTCAGCATGTTACAATTCCATTTTATTACGTAAATATATGAATATTTTGCTCTAATGATGAAAAATCAAATTCATGATTTCAACAAAACGTAAATTCAAACTAAATATTCACATATGTCTGAGTGTTTCCAGATTATATACAAAAATAACAAACAAATATAAGAGTAAAGACTCTTTAAAAAACGCCCAACATCTTATCTTAAATAATATATAAATAGTCAATGATGATTGTTACCATTACATCATAAATATGAAATGTAACAATGGTTGTTGGAAACAATTACTCAATAAAATATGACCATACATTTTTTTATATTTTTCATAATTTAATGTTATATGGATCAAGTCACTTTTTTCCCCATGGTATTTTAGATCAAGTCCCTTTTTTCCCCATGGAGTTTTCTTAGTAAAAATAAAAACATGAATTAGAGTGATTTATTGGATCCTAAGAAGCTCAAATAATGCTATCAAGCCCATTCTTTTCCCAGTATTGTGCTTCCACATGAACTCACACAACAGTTCATCCAGTTTAACACCAAGAATCTCTTTGTGCATCTTAATGTTGTACTTTCACGTATTCCGCGTTGACTCAATATTCTGAGTGTAGGTGCCAGTAACTGGGTTCACAAAGCTCTCACTGTGATTAACAGTCTCATGAGTGAATCTGAGCTTATCAGATATGCCCATGTATGCCCTCCATTCATCACTGTTGATGATGGTGCCTGGAAGGCATACACGCTCAATGATAGGCAGCAATGTGGAGGCTTTACGATCATCTACCACGTGCAATGAGATTTTAGCTGGTGTAAAGGACACATCAGCCAGTCCAAATACCCAGATCTCACGCCCTGGCTGTCTACCTCGATGGTACTTCTGTTTGTGCCTGAACAGACTTTCGTCTATCTGGACCACAATACCATCCCTGCCGAGCTTAACAGGTTTTTCTGCCACACTTAAACAGCAAAATGTGCGCAGACGGTCAATTATTTTCATAACGACCTTCCTGTTAAGGTTCACCTCGGTCATGATCTGCACTTGAGTGTTGTTATTAAACCATTTACAGCACACCTTAATGATTATCCACTACAATCATGGTTGTAGCACCTGAACGCCATTCCATCTTTGTTGCGGGTGTATGGCTTGCATACCATGTCAACAGAGCACGTTGGACATGCAACCACTCGCTTCAACACTCCTCTAACTCTGAGGAACTCCACGAGACCCGCAACAGGTCCGTTCATCACAGGTTCCAGCACATTCT